GTTATGATGGCTCCTAGTCCTACAGCCAATGTTGAAACAACACAACCTCCCTTGACAGAATTCAGGTTGAAATCAGTAAACCTCGTAACATTTTCCACTATAAAATACCTTTTGCTGTATTTATGGAAGAACAACAACAAAAAAATCATTCCAACATGTGCAGAACATTCTAGTATGGTGCGAGGCCTCTTATAGGTTATGGGAATAGAAAAAAAATAAGACAAAATCTCTGCTTCTCACCAAGCTTGCAAGTTTACAAATAAATTTGTGATAAGAGTCACAAATAGCACTAAGGGAATCGAGAGAAGGAAAGACCAAACAAGGCTTCATAAAGGGTGCGGTATTTGAGCTGAACCTTGGGGGCTGGGCAGACTTGAAAGACAGGAGTTATTCTATCATTCTTGGAGGAGAGCGCAAAAGAGACAAAGAGAAGGGGGACTGGCACGGGGCGTATCTGGAGAAGAGCCCGTCTGGCCCGAAGCCTAATACACAAGGAAGAATAAAGTAAGGACGGGGCCATGCTAGGGAATCAGAGAAATACAACTGAGGCCGGAAAAGTATCTAGTCGCACCTCAAGTGCAGCTGAGTTTCTCACACACTTTCCCTACTGTGCGCTGTCCCAGGTCTGCATGATTACTGACAGGACGGTGACCCCCTGCTCCACACACGGCTCTCTTGACATGTAGAGTTGGTCTCGCGCTTCAGGAGGCAATGGGGGAGCCCCGAGAGTTGCTCGAGCAAAGAACTGACATACTTACCATCTTATTTTAGAGGCAGTGGTATCCGAGCTACTAAAACGAACAATCACGAAGTCCCTGCTGAGTACCAAGCACTGCTCTGAACACTTGAGCCCGTCTCTCCATTTGCGCGTTCCTGCCATTCTATGGGAGTTTCCAGATGAGGAAGTGGAGGCACAGAAGCGAGAGTCCTGGGATGAGAAGCAAGGGTTTTCCTGCCCTTTCACATCTGAGGGCGCAGGCCATGCCCATCAGGCGAGGGTCTCACAGAGGAATGAAAAGAGGGCAGTAAGAACATTCCCGAGAAAGATACGGGAAAGTGAGAAAGAGAAACCAGTTTTGTGGGGAAATGCTGAGTGATCTGCTCATTATGCATCTTGAGGGACAGAACGGAGAGGCAGATAGAGACGGTCAACAAGAAGCTGGAAATGGAGTAAACCGAAGAGAAAACTCAAGATTGGAGAGACATGTCTGTGGCTGGAGGAGAGGGAGAGAGGCTGGAATGAACCAGGGTAAGGCATCGAGAACATCCCTCGGAGAAGGGGAGAAGGGAGACGAGAAGGAAGAGTATTTAGGAAATGTCTCCGTGTGTAACTTCCTCTAAGGGCTCTTGTCCTCCAACTCCGGAAGCTCATACAGTGGAGCCGGTCTGTCACACCGGGTCTGACCGCCAGGCTCAGGTGCGGCCCACGCCCCCGAACCGCCCCCGGGGGTGGGGCAGCCAGAGCAGGTGGCAGGGGGTGAGGAAGCGGGAAGGAGGAAACCAGAGACTCCCAGGGAACTGGGATGCGGCGCGAGAAACAGAGAAGCAGTTTATCCCAGGTAGGTGGTTCTTGCCAGTATTTAACGAAGATAGAAAAAGAAATCTCTAAAACCTTCAGATGAAACATCTACGTTCATAGAACCTTTAAGTAATGTGCAGTCCACAGAGGCAGCCATATAGGAGGTTTGTAAAGATCTACTGTGAACAGTTTTTCAGACTCGGGGCAATGGTATAATTTAAACCCTGATAACTGGGTGCAAATCAAGATGAGGGCAACTGTCCACAGGTCTCTGCATGAGGCTGGTGGCACTGCCACCCAAATGAATCGCCCTTGAAGCTGTAAAATCCCAGACAGAGAACTGATAGTGAAACTGAGGTGAACCACTAAAAAATGATTCTTCTTTTCTAAAGGTACTGCAATAGCGGTCCTCATGCAACTTAAAAATCTGTATTTGAGTAAGAAAACAATGAGAATTCGATTCATTTCTGGGTTATCCTTTGATAAATATTCTACACAATTTGCATCTGCGGTGTGTGTGTATTTGAGCCTGGGAAAGGTACCATTACCGTACTGATATGCCTTTGAAAACAATCACACGTCCACGTCAGTGTGTCTAAATCTACATTCCTGCTCCCACGGGAAGCATGCTTCCCCCTGCGGGGCTGCCCTGGGGTCCCGCCTGGCCAGGCCCCTCCTGCCCGACGCATGTGTCCCAGCCTCCTGCTGCTGGAACCATGTGTGGCGAAGCTTCTGCCCACATGGCTGTGTTCCAAGGGCAGCTCTGCAAGTAAACTGCTGCATCAGAGAGGGCATGCATTTTAAATAGTAATGCATGTTATCAAACTGCCTTCCAGATGCTTCATCAATTTATCCTTCCTCCAGCTTTGCATCAGAACATGCCTGTCTGAATATGCCTTTCCTCACACTCGGTATTAAAACATTTTAATTCTCTGACCCTTTAAGAGCAGACTCTAAAAATGAGTATTTTCCTATGTTTATTGGCTATTTGCACCTTGCCTGTGTGGGAAGAAAGCCAGATTTAAAATAACTGGCGCTGAGGAGAGCAAACACAGACTGATCTGGAGCAGTGTGCAGGGTGGAAAGGGGAGGTGCGCCCTGCATTGCCTGACCGGGGAGAGGGCAGGGCTGGCTCCTCCAAATAAAACTGTCCCCTGGGAGAGCACACACTGCCAGAGTAATGTGAAAATCCCAACGGGCATAACCCTGGAACAAAAATAGTTTTTTCCTATTGACATTCAAGAGAATGAAAGAATGAGTAAACCTGACAGCAAAAGTTTTAAAAGCTACCAATTAAAAATGGCTGCCTGGTTTCCTATTCATGACATTTTTCATGGTATTTATAAACGCACCACCATTTTGGTCTATTTAAATTCTTCTTCTATTCCAGATAACTGAAAGCACAGATGTTTTTACTTGAGAAGGGGGCGCCTGGGTGGCTCAGTTGGTTGAGCGTCTGACTCTTGATTTTGGCTCATGTCATGATCTCAGGGCTGTGGGACAGAGCCCCGCGTCGGGCTCCAGGCTCGGCGTGGAGCCTGCTCAGGATTCTCTCTCTCCCTCCCCCTCGGTCCCTCCCTACCTACTCCCTCTCTCAAAAAAAAAAAAATTTTTTTTTATTTAAATTAAATCCAAATGCTCAGTTAATTAATTATGGTCATGCTTTCTATATTTTGTTACTTCTAGTTTCAGTTCACTTTTTCTTTGCTTTCAAAGGATCTGGTTAGATTTAATGTTAGAATGGATTAGTAAAATCCACCTTCAAAAAGTTGGTTTTATTTCGACTTATGCTACTCAGTTCCTACTGCTACATTTAGATACCGAGGAAGCTACTTCGTAACAGAGTAAGACTTGAGCCTGATGGTGAATTTGCGGTCAGAGTGCTTTAGTCCATCCTGAGACAGCGGCTGAAGTAGGTCCCTGAATTAAAATAGGATGAATATTTTTTCATCTTTTGTTTCCTTTGCTTATTCTAAATCATCTCAGCATCATTCCCTTTTACTAAAATGTTGTCTTTTACTCGATGCAAACCCATTTCATGGATGTTTTTGTTTAACTCGGTAAACTCAGCTGAGTTGGCTTTGCCCCCAGGGGACATCTGGCACCATCTGCAGATAATTTTGATGGTCACACCTGAGGGCAACTAGATGTTACTGGCACGCAGAGAGCAGAGGCCAGGGGTGTTGCTACACTGCACAACGCAGAGCTCAGGCCCCAGTATCCACAGCACTCATGCTGAGAATCCCTGGTAAACTTCAAGTGAGGCTTGACTACTGTTTCTTCATGTTTTATCCTGAGTAATCTTTAACTGACCAATGTTCTCAGGTATTCTAGAGTAACAAAATGCAGGAAAATGCTCAACTACGGTGACCTCTTTGCCTCTGAATTTTAAAATTGGGCCAGACTAATTTGTAATTCAGGATGTCCACCAAAAGCTATTTAAAAATGTATAAAATCGGGGTACCTGGGTGGCTCAGCTGGTTAGGCGTCTGACTTCAGCTCAGTTCATGATTTGGGGATACTGGGATTGGGCCCCCGAGTCGGGACTCCCTGCTCAGCGGGGAGTCTGCTTCTCCCTCTCCTTCCGCTCCTCCCCTGTTCACTCTCTCTCTCTCAAATAAATAAAATCTTTAAAAAATAAATAAATCAAAACGTACAGAATCTGCAGTTAACATATGGTAACAGCACTTGGATAAATTATCTTGGAAGGTTAAGATATAAACATTCTGTAAGCAAATAATTACTAAGTGATAGGACTATGACGCTTCACATAATTGAAAACCTTCTATGTAGTTAAAGAATATCAAGAAATAACACGCCCTAAAGCCCATTTGTTTCTAAGGATGCAGGAAGCGGTAACATTTTGATCTCCATCTTCTGACTTTTCTTGTTGCCGCTCACCCAAGGTAATCATTTAACGGTAACTGAACTAGGCAGAGTCACCTAAACTGGTCAAACTTTCATTAAAATTAATGTCGAATTTCCGTGTATTTTTCTCAACTCGTCCCACGGCTTTAAGTTTCCTAGAGGCAATACAACAGCAGTAGTGAGTGCTGAGCGCTGGATTTGCGGCCACTTTTCACCTGCACTGCATCTGCAAGATGAGTGTAAGAAACACGCCAAGGTCAGAGAAATCATTTCCTGTTCCAGCTGGAGCTCTGACACTCATAGCCTCAGTGTGGGACCCTGCCTTTCCTCCCCGACTTGGGAGAATATTTGCACCTTAAAGGGTCTGTGTTTGTATCATGCCAGACTTCTAGAAGCAACGCTCAATGGACACCCTGCATTCTCTCTTATAATCAACTTTAAAAACAGTCTTCAGCCGGTCTAACAGGCAAGTTTTTGTTAATGCCCAACAGAAATGCCACACAGACATCTAACAGCTACTTTGTGCTTTCAGGGAACGGCAACTGCTAGAATGCATCGTGAGCCGTCAGAGATGCGTTGCTCTCTCAGTCCAGCCAGATGACGGAAGACTCACCTGGTTGTTACTGTTGGCAGCTGACGAATTGGCCTGAGCTGTACTTGCTGAGAGGGAATCGAGGAAGGCCTGGTCAGCCACTGAATTTCCACAAGAAAATGGGTCTTTTCCATCATTGGGCAAAATCTGAATATTAGAAAGAACCACAGGTTTTTCATAGATTAGGGGTAGTTCACAGAGTCTCTAAAGGCAAGCAAAAATTGTCATCTATTATGGAAAAGAGGTTTATATTCTTAAAAGGTAGGGTAGCCTTTGAACATCTATATTAACTATTCCTTTCTAGAAGTATGCAGAGTTCTAGAAAATGCAATCAATGCCAGCACCAACTTAAATCCTCAGATTGTTCTCCTTCTTGTCCATTTTTAGGATCCTGCCTGCACAGTGCACAGAGGTAAAGCATGACACAAACATTAAGACAGGTGGGCTGAGTCCAGGGGCCTGTGAGCCCTCTGGAACTGCACAGGCGAGCCCGGGGTGCATGCACATGCACAGATTTCTGAGAAGAAGAGCCACAGATTCATCGGATTCTCCAGAGGGTTCAAAACTCCCCACCCCAACTCTCCATCAAGAACAACAGGGAGAGAGACAGCACCGAGGTAAACATCCCCCCAGGGCACCATTCCTCTCTGCTTGAGGGAACCAGAGGGCCCTTGTTCTTGATCTCACTTCCGTTTTACTCACAGGGCACCAGGCAACCTTGGTTTCAGTTGGTCACCGGAGGGGGGAGAGGCAAGCTGACCCAAGTATCCAGAACTCGTTTGAGTAACCTACAGACAACCAGCAGGGGGCGCCAGGAGGTTGGCTCAGAGGGGGGTTTGTCAGCTGAGTGTGTCCTAGGTGGGAGGCTCCTTCCAGGGGCTGGAACACTACCCTTGCCATCTATGGGCACAGAGCTTAAACCAGGTTAGTAGCTCCCAGGAGCTCATCCAAGACCCTCTGTTTATGGGAATGGGAGTGCGGGCTGAGGGATAGGTCCTAAACCAGCACAGAGCAAAGAGAGCTACTTAAAAAAAAATCTTTTTAAACTTTGTGAATGAACTCGTAATATAAACAGTACTACAGGCAACAGCGATTACACAATATAAACAAAGGAAAAATAGGGACATTCATCCAGAATAATTAGAAGTTGCTCTCCCAAGAAGGAACTTAATTTAAATATCTGGAGTCACTCTTTGGAGCTTGGGTCTATAGGTAACATTTTTTCTTAGGTCTACTTCAATGTATTTTTCATGTTTTATATAATTAGCAGGTATTACTTTTACAATGGAATTTTTTTTTATTAAAAATAAAGTTGCTACTTTCCATAAGTCATAAAAAGATGTCTGACAAAGACCAGGTTTAATTACTATAGGACAATAAGTTCTTACTTCAACATAGTCTGTGGGAACAAGCCCCCGTTCTCCTTTGCTGTTTCTTCCTTCCAGCCATCCTCCACCAACATCCTAATAAAGTTTAAAAAAGAGAGAAAAGAAAAAAATATGACATTATAGTTGGAATTTCCTACAGAAATTTTGCTTTGTTATATATGAAAAAATAATTAATGTTAAGCTCTTTATTCCCACAGAGCTAACACTGTTCAAAGTTATAAATGTTTTTAAAAGGTTTATATGAGAGAGAGGGAGTGCAAGCGAGTGAGGGTAAGCACACAACACTGAGATCATGACCTGAGCCAAAACCAAGAGCCGGATGCTTAACGGACTACTAAGCCACCCAGGCGCCCTCAAAGTTATAAATTCTTAAGGCTTCTCTTTACTCTGGAAAATGATATCATCTAAAAACAAGAAAAATCAAACAAGTGATCAAAGACTGAAAAGTAGCCCATTCAATAGGCTAAAGTGTCATCCATGTGTAATTCCTCTCTATTCACTGGGTGGGGGCAGATGACAAAAATGCAGCCCCGACTGTCAAGAAGTAGAATGACACCCTCATTTCTGGAATCTGTGTTGTCCTTTGTGACCTCTGTGGCCAACAGAATGAGGTGAGGTGGAAATAACATAGAGTGAGTTCAGAGTCTAGCCTCAAGAGGCTTTGCACACTTTTTCCAAAAGAGCTGTGTGAGTAACTTCGGTTGCTAGATGACAGAGAAAAGGCTCAGTCTCCTGGACTCCCCACCCCAAGCCAGCCAACCCTCAGCAGGGGAATCGCCAGACACCTGAAGGACCACGTGTTAAAGCACTGAGCCCCCAGCTGCCCACCAGGTGCCTGCAGACGTGTGAGGGAGCTCAGGTCAGTGGAACCATCCAGCCAACCTGGAGGTTCCTGAGCAAGACAATAAATGGTTGTTGTTTAAGCCACTAAGCTTTGGGATTGCCTATTATCTAGGAAAAACTAACTGATCCATGGTTCCTTCAGTCTTCTGGATAAACAATGCTAAACTAAATTATAAAATATACTAGAATTCCCACTTTTCAATCTATTATCTCAACAAAGTCCTACTTTTTCACCTTAAGAGTTGTCTTAAGTTCATAAATCATGTCTCAATTAGTTAATACCTATCTGAATTTAGATAACACATTTTTTTTGAAGATTTTATTTATTATTTATTTATTTAGAGAGCGAGCATGCATGCGGGAGGAGGGGCAGAGGGAGAGGGAGAGGAAGAGAGAATCTTAAGCAGACTCAGCTTGGAGCCCGACGTGGGGCTTGATCCCATGACCCTGTGATCAGACCTCAGTCTAAACTAAGAGTCGGGTGCTTAACCGACTGAGCCACCCAGGTGCCCTAATAATACATTTTTAAAAAATCATTTGAAGGGGCACCTGGGTGGCTCAGATGGTTGGGCGTCTGCCTTCGGCTCAGGTTGTGATCTCTAAGTCCTGGGATCGAGCCCCGAGTCGGGGCTGTTCTCTCCCTCTGCCTCTCCCCTCTCTTGGTCATTCCCCATTCTCCTTTTATTTTTATTATTTATTTATTTACTATTATTTATTACTATTTTATTTTATTTAAATAAATGGCTTATTAAATTTATTTAAATAAATAAATGGCTTATTTTTATTTATTAAAAACAGATTTATTTATCACTATTTATTTAGATTTATTACTCTTATTACTAAGTCAGGTGCTTAACTGTTTTTTTAAATAAAATAATAAAAATAAAAATCACATTAAGCGACTACTTTGTCCATTTTTGAGCATGACAACAACTTAAATACTATTTTACCAGGAAATGAAGACTATTTCTTCATTTAAAAAAATCAGATAAAGAATCTTTAATCTCTCTAATGATTAAAAATAAACTATTTACTTATATACACTTAGTATAGTATCTAAAACTATATATACTTTTCCTACCCAGTAATTATTTTTTGTATCTAAAACATATTAAGACAGGTTTTGAAAATACTATCAGTATTAAGAAGCCACCATCCTCTCTTGGTCATTCCCGTTCTCCTTCCCCGGTCTCTGAGCTGTCCCAGGCCCCTGTCCCCCCCACCTGGAGGAACACCTGCATCTCCTCCTTCCCTTCCCAGGACGTCTCCAGCTGTCCCGGCCACCTTCTTCACATGCTACTCTCAAAGGTGTCCCGGAGAGCTGTCCTATCCTCAGCTCTCACCTCCAGCTCGGCCATTTCCATTTTTAAACTGAGGCAAAGCTGTAGGGAAGGGTTAATTATTTACTATTCAAGCGCCACATATCTAACAATAAACTCATTTAATCTTCCCAAAGAAGCTTTTCTCTCTGACTCACGTACTTAATAAATCCACCATTCTCTCAGGTCAAAGGCCAAAACTCTTGGGGATCCCTGCCTCTTTTCTCTCCAACAGTATCTAATCTGGCACCAAGTCCTCTGGGTCTGACTCTGCAAGGCCTCCTGTGTTCAGCTTTCTTCAATTCTTGTTGCTACGACCTGAAGTCGCATCCCCAGGCTCCCGCCACGCCAGTTCACTCAATACACCTGTGCTAGATTAATTTCCTGGAAATGCAAGTCTCACGACATCACCTGCCTAACAACAACATCAAGAAGAAAACCCTTAAATGAATCCACTACTTACAAATGAAGTCCAAAGTCTACATCCTGGCCCACAGATCCTGTCTGATTTGGCTTGAAGAGCCAGTTTTCTTAGCCTGTCTGCTACTGGCACATATGTGCCCCGGACCCCTGGGACCCTTGTTTACGTGTTGTGTTCCCAGCAGAGAGAAAAAGCAGAGGCTCAGAGGCCAAGCAGATGTGGTTTTGCACCCTTACTCTGCCACTTATAAACAAAGTGATCTTGGGCAAGTTTGCTTACCCTCTACGTCTCATTACCCTCATTTGTAAAACACAGATTAAAAGTCCCTAGCTCACAGAGTTCATGGAGAAAACATGTCAAGAATACATGTGTAGTATTCAGCCAAACACTTGGCTCACAGGCTGTCAATCAGCCTCAGCTGTGACTTCCAAGAAACACTGAATGTTTTCTAATCTCTACACCTGTGATCTGGCTGGGATCTGTCTGGGACATCTCTTTCCATTTCTGTCTGATGGAACCCCATCCAGCTATCTTTAGGGGACTTAACTTTTATTCACTGTTTATAAAATATAGAGTCTTACTTCACCATCAATACTTCATAAACAACAGGGTAAAAATGTGTGTGGATTTGAATTATCAACTTATTAAACAAAATAAAATCTTAAAAATAATTACTGTCCTTAAGAGACCATCAGATTTTAAAACCTCTTACCGGATTTGTAATTGTGATGATTTCTCCTTCATTAACCGTCAGTTCATTATTGCCAGGCTCAGCAGCAAAATCATACATAACCCGAGCCTATTGGGAATAGAGACAAACAGAGGAAGTTACAAATGTAAACTTCACAGTAAAAAATCAAACAATCTTTATCATACAATTTGTAAACATGCTGGCATGAACACTCATGACCATGGCTATGGTTGTTTTGAAATAAAGGAAGATATATTACCAAAATGATTCATCAGCCCTACTGTGAGGAAAGAGGACACCAACGGTGAGGGCCCCTACTCTGTTTTGGAAACAGGGAAGGTTTCTGGTAGCTGCCCATACTGCATTCAGAGATCAGATCCCAAAATGTTCTCAAAACACACCTATTTCATCGGCGGGGGAGGGGAGAGAAAAGCATGCCCTTTCTTTCTTTCTTTTTTTAAAAGATTTATTTATTTGGCGGGGGCAGAGGGAGAGAAAATCACAAGCAGATCTGAACTGAGTGCAGAGCCCGACACAGGGCTGGATCTCAAGACCCGGAGATCATGACCTGAGCCCAAACCAAGAGTCGGACACCCAACCAACTGCGCCACCTAAGTGCCCCAACACCCTTTCTTTACAGAGGTAAGAAGTGAAAATAGAGACATCGTTCATTCTGGGCACACTCACTCTCAGGGACTAAAGGAACATACAGATGCACACATGTGTACACTCATGTAAGATTCATATGTTTAGATTATTCCCTGGCAGTGAAAATGCTCACTATTCTTTATCTAGAGCCACTGGGATGAATTTTAATGATGCAGTACCCCTAGCCAACTAAACTCGGAATTTAAGATCCAGGGAGCAAGATATACTTACATTCTTCTCCTGGAATACTACCCACTATACCAGAGCCTCCACGGGGTGGTGTATACTGGTTAGCTGACCTAATAGCTGTGATTTTCCAACTTTTCCTGCAATAAAATCTTAATTCCATGGAAAACAGACTAAAGGGAAGCTGTTCTGGTTGATGGGAGGTGGGGCTGCTCCTTCAGCCTCTTCCTCAAGAGGCTCCTTGAGGTGTGCGTCAACCCAGAAACGTGGATTCCCGGGAACACCACTATGTGCACATTCCAAGATGATCCCTGTGGTAAAAAGTAGGTATCATATAGATATATTTTATAGTACTTAATAGATATTTTTAATCCGTTTCATATTCTAAACAATTGTCTTTCATGGACTATCTCATAAAAGAAGGTCCATCTTCATGTACCTAGGAAACCGACGATTTATTTGGAAAGTAACTGTCCTAAGTGGCAAGTTCAAGTATATGTACAGAGCTAGTCAAACAGGACTAATGGAACTGCACTCATTTAACAAATATTTACTGAACACCCACCATATGGTTGGAACTGCGCTAGGCCCTCCTGCTTGCTAGTGCAGTCTCCCCACACTTGCTTAATGATGCCTGAAATCTCAGAACAAGGATTAAGGATTCACAGCTACTGGTAAAAGGTTAAAACAAAAAAACAAAAAACAACCACCCTCCAAATACTAATTTATTTTGATATACGTTAAAAAAAAAAAAAAGGATGATAAGACTGAGGGATGAATATACAACAAAGCCGGTAGAGTAAATGTTGTTTACAGAATTTAGATGGGCTGATAGTGTTCAATGGAAAATGATTTCAAGTTTTCTACATGTTTGAGGTTTTTTCATAACAAAATGTTAGAAAGAAACAAACGGTCCGGTCTGTCAGTCACAGAACGGCATCAGCTCCTGGCCTTCCGTCCTGAGAGGCTGGGAAGGGGGTGGCCGGAGCAGGCCGGAGCAGAACTCTGTGAGCACGACAGTTTTCCTGGGGTCAGGACACGGGACGCCTGATGACTCTTTCTCATACTGCTGCAAGAGTTGACAGAATTCTGCTGGTCACGTGGTGGGGTATTTTTTAAAAACCACGTCACCCCAACCTCAATTCCTCACGCATCGAGGGCAGATACAGATGAATGCGTGAGGAGGGTGAAGAGGGTGAAGAGGGTCCCTGGGCCAGGCGTGGCCCCCAGGACTGCGAGCTTCCTGGGAAGGGCCTGGTGTGCACCCAGGAGCCGGATGAACCACCTGCTACTTGGTTATTGTTCCTTAGGGATCCCGGTTAACAAGTTTTTTCTAATGCAGCTAAATCTAATCCCCACTACAGCATACCAAAGCCTCTTGTGTACCAAATGTACAACTTGATGGAACAAGTCAAAAACGAAAACTCGAAACTCCCACATTTAAATATTACTGAACTTTAGCCATGGAAAAATATATATAAACATTGTAGGTTTATGGAAACACGGATTTAAGCCGCCTGAAAAAAAAATCCTAGAGACGCTTCTTAGAAATTAGAATTGAGAGCAATTTTAGAGAACAAAAAAATGTTAAAAAGCACATCCCCAAATGAGCATAACGTGTCAACAGAAAACAAATTTGAGCAACCACTCTTACCAAGCTTAGGTAGCCCGGGAGCCCCTAGAACGGAAACCCTCGGGGCGCTGTCTCTCTTTACCTGCTTTTCTGGTATCTGGATCTGGCTTCTCCCTCGCTCCACCACTGACAGCATACAGAGATGCTGGCCTCCGCCCCAAATGCCCATCAGTCCCCCTATGCTTTGTACGGCCTTTGAGAAAAGGTCCATTTTTTGATGCTGCTTTCTCCAGCGTTGGCTACAGTTTAAGAAATGACTCAAGTATTTTCAGGAGCTAAGTCTCTACACAGTTCCTGGACAGCAGGGGATGGGATACTGCATGTTGAAAACATACCGTCAACAACAATCTCTTCAACAGCAATACCAAAAAGTCTTATAGAAGAAGGTGAAGGGATAGTAGACCGCAATCTTGAACATAAGTTCCATCATCTAGCGACAGTAAAATAAACATTACAGATCCAAAGCTCTCGATGGTCCAGGCACTGGACTAGACCTGTGGTGCCACGCCGCGGGTATGTGCGGAACCCATCATCCTTAACACGCATTTCCTTTTGAGAGAGAACAGAGGGGTATCAAAGTATTCAATCTTCTTGACCACGTCGCAAACATCTGTTATGTTGTCTGCTCCACATCCCTTCCTTCTGGAAACTTCCTGCTTGACTCCAAGCCATTGGTAAGCACATAACCCAAACAGGGATAATCAGAACTCTTTCCTAGAAATCGATACAGATGCTGGGGAGCAAGGGTCTTTTTCTCTGAAAATGCTGCCAGTGGCTAACTAGCTGAGGTACAAAGTGGAATGACAAAGAGAAAGAACGTCCTGAGGGGATCACTTGAGGGACAAGCCTGAGGCTGCTCTCCTGCTCTCAGACACAAGAGCCATCGGGTCTCCTTTCGTGCCTAAGCTAATGGGAGTTCAGATTCTGTCACACAACCAAGAGAGCCCAAGTTGATACAAACCAATAACCCCAAACCAAAGAATTTATTAAGACGACATTTTAAATAAAAGAGAAACACTGGATGTAGTAACATTACTGCGTTTCCTATTTTGCAAAACAAAACACTAGAACCTAAAATGAACAAGAGAATTAAAAAGTTCAAAATGACAAAAAAACAAAACCGGCTGCAGAAAGTTCATGTGGGGGTCAAAATGCAGAGGACAAGTCCCCATCCTTAAGCACCTGCTTCTCTGGTTTTATATAAATCATAATTAAATCTAGGGAAAAGCAGTAAATCTTCAGTAATGTAGCTCTCTCACTTTAAAAACAGAGACACTCAAAAACTAAAACTAAAAAATTTTAAGAGATGGACAGATCCTTTATTAATGTGACCCCTGAGAACTGAAATTTTACATGTAAGTGATATTTCTATATAACTAGTTCATGCCAAGCTTGCTTTTTGTTTTTTTAAGATTTTTTATTTATTCATTTGAGAGAGAGCACATGCGCGCAAGCTTTGGCGGGGGAGGGTCAGAGGGAGAGGGAGGAGCAGACCCCCGGCTGAGCAGGGAGCCCGATGCGGGCTCGATCCCAGGACCCCAGGATCATGACCTGAGCCGAAGGCAGACGCTTAACCGACTGAGCCACCAGGCGGCCCTCAAATGCCAAGCGTGTTTTACTTCAGCACGCTCATTTGACTTCTTGTGAAATCGTATACCGTTAATGCTTTCCTCTATCTCATTTTTACATAACCATCAAGATCATAAGAAAAAGAACTTCCTTTAATAGACTCTAAGAGCATTATTATACCTTTAATATATGCAGATGTATTTGTCCTTATTCTAAATGATTAAGACTTAAATGCTTTTCGGTTTATAACAATCTGTGATTTCAGTTCAATCCTGGCCTGCGCTTGTTCAGCTGTTACTTTGCATCCAACAGAGAATCTTAAATTATCCCTGTAAAATTTCATCTTGTTAGATTTAGCCATTGCCCCAACCTACTAAGTTTTCTGAATTCTGAAGCCATCATCCAACTCTACCCAACTACTGTTTATCCTTTCCTGCCCTAGAGTCCTCAGAAAGCCTGCTACGCATGCTTTCCTCAGCTTCCCCTGTGTCGTTACTAAAACTGTGAATTTAGGGCCGGGTTGAGGTCCCAGATGGCCACACACATTAAGAAACTCTTTCCCAGAGGACATGGATCGATTATCACATTTTGGGTATGTTGCTCTTAAAATTTCCAAAGAAGGTGTTGGGGCCAAGGGCAGGCCAGCCCCAAGATGGACCACGTTAGTAGGAAGATTATTCTCAGCTGAAGGCAATGAGACCCTGCAGCTCAAGAGAAACATCTGCCTTTCCCTTAACCACATAGAAGAATCCACGTTGAGGGTCTTCCCCAGAATAAGGGTTATTTGCTGAGATAAACTGTATCTGATGACCCAGCTGCAGGGCAGGGCAACCATCTAATTAGCAGATACCTGCTCTTCTCACTGCCCTGGGAAATGCACTCCTTTCCTCTGAAGCCCCAGACCCCTGCCCCCATCTTAGTTCAGAACCTCCTATTTGAAGGAGGACTTCAACCACCTGCATTCTGACCTCAAACTTTCTGATTAAGTTCTTCTGTCCAGCTTATCTTTTAACTCAGGCAAAAAAAAAAAAAAGTCCCCATGGACAAAGCATGATGAGAACCAAAACTACCC